ATTTTCGTAAGGGCCGTGTTATACAATGCTCAAAACTCTACTGACTATATAGTTAAGTCTGCGTCTTGCCAAGGCTAGACAGCCGAACGTGTTCTACTCTTTCCTGTTGCTCTTGACAGAATCGGCAACAATCGTTTTCTGCTACACCAATCTTTTTCAAATGGTATAGTAGTTCCGTGTAGTTTTTGATATCTGTTCTGTTTAAATTCAGAAGAGCCTCAGTTTTTATATGTTCAGAGATAATAAGCCATTTTGACTGCCGCATGCTTTTTTGGGCTCTACCTATATTTATGAATAAAATCTGGATCCAACATCACGAATCTGAATTGACTAAGATATAGTATGTATGCGGCACTTCTGCTCCGAAGCAAATTTGTACCCAGAATTTAATTAAGACATATGAGTTTTTTTTATGCAAAAGGTATATGGTTCATAGATTATCTACAAACTTGAAATTATAAGCTCAGATAACTTTTTAAAAGTTTTGAATCGCTCTTGGGAAAAAACCCGATTTACAGATGAAAAGAATAATTTCTCATTTAGACAACGCAGCCGTGCACTTGCACCTTAAATACATATAATACCAATTGTTGTAATCTGACTTTTGACTCTTTTCATACATCAAATAACTCTTTCGTAAAGAACGAATGAAGAGGTTATAGGTGCCTTGTGAGATAATATATAGACTTTCCACTAAATAGATGAGGTTCGAGCATTGTTGAAGTAAACCAATTGAAGAGTTAATAGGCTTCGAATAGAAATGAAAAGACAGCAACAAAAAGTTGTATTAATTTATTAAACTTTCAATTAGTTTTTTTTCACCATAAGGCGCGTCACTTTCGATGAAAAAAATTAACATTAAACCAATTAAAGTTGAAGAAGTTTATATAAAAAAATTAATTAATTTTTACAAATTAAAAACTATATTTTCATTTCCATTCTACAAATTTATTTAAAAAAATCGAATATTGAGCTAAAAGGATTGAGCTGAAAAGGATGTTGTAGAATAAAACGTCAAATATACTTTTTAATTAAAGTTTTTTTTTTTGGTAAGTTTTTAACGAGACCTCATAAACATCAGATTTAAATTAATTAATTGACTCTGTGGACTTAAAGAGAGCAGATACTTACCGATAAACATAATATGAAGCAGTAAAAATATTATGCAAAATATTTGTTTGAATGAAGATAAGCTTAAAGTGTTCCATCCCATGATTAACTGTATTGCCCTTCTGGTATTCGTAAGCGTTTAACTAAAGTAAAAATCGCAAATGCATGGAGTATTGCGTTTGGCATTCCCTCAGACTACTTAAAGTAATTTACAAAGGTTCGCTATTCCGAAACACGAGAACACGAGAACACGAGAACTCATTTTAAAAATAAAATATCAAATAACTTTGCATTCCAATAAATTTATTCGGAAACTTCGCAACGTTTGCCATATTTGTTCGCCACTCTTCCATATGGGTTTGTGGGGGCGGAATGCGTTTGGCGGTCACAACAAACGCAGACGGAAAAGCCGCGCCAAGCATTATGAAATTTAAATGCAAAAAGTTTTGCATCAGTCGCAATACGAGGAGCACGGAGCGCTAAGACAGTGGCAAGGATTCGGATATTTGTTACAATTTAGTCGCGTCATTTTCCATTTAACTTGGCACATTACTAACCGTAACCGCTTTAACTTAAACGCTTAAACAAGTCACTCTTGCCAAGCCGCGTCCCCGGCTGAGGTAACTCCTAGGCCGCCTTCTGTTGTGCTTTTATGCGCTAGTCTTCCTGTCGCATGAAGTTGTAAATTTTGTGCCTTTGGCTGAAATTAATGAGGTGATAGCTTCTTGTTAAAAAGTCCTGCTTCCTTTACGTATTTCACAATATTCACATTCAAATTTTTCTTCCTCCAATTTTGTTGCTCTTTTACTTTCTTTAGATTTCTTCGACAAAATTTTAAAGATTCAAAATTGTGTTTGTTTTTTTGTTTCAAATTACATTTTACAATCCTTTAATTTGAACTCAATCGTTCGAATTTATAGGTCCAAAGTGCAAGATTTAATTTTAATTTTAATTTTAATTTGAACTTCATAAAAAGTTTAAAAAGAATTCCGAAAGTGATTTAAACGTTAAACCTATTAATTTCCGGATATAACGAGCTCCATAGCAGTAAAAATAGCAGTTATAGCAGTTATCTAGCTCACCGACCTAGATAACATTCTTAGTAAAAATAATGAAGCCTGAACAGTCAAATTTAATTGAACAATTAATTGAAGAATAGCCACGCTCTGAGAAACCTTTTCAAGGTATCATGGCACATGATACGAATGACATCCTCAGGGACGTCAAGATTGAACTGATCAAAAAATATATAAAGAACAGAGCTCTGATATTATTTACGAAAACTAACAGACTTACCAACACCGCGTTATCGAATCTCAGAATGGTTACAAGCTCCTCGGAGAGGTCTGCACATCTGAGGTCAATTATTGCTTAGACTGTTGAAGTGATAAACAATATTCCAGTCAAGGCATAGAGAGTGGTTTTGAAGAAATCTCGCAGTTAATAGTTAAAAGTGTTCAAGTGCACTGACTAGTTGAGTCAGCATTCAACATAATAATTATTAATCATCAGTCAAAAATCAATTGATTACAAATGTTCCAGAAGCGCCGCAGTTAGGATTTATGTATTGCATATTTAACGCAACTTTACAAGTTCATATGAAATTACATTCAAATAATTCGGCAAAATAATTTTATAACCATTTTATTCTCTTTATAATAGATTCAAGATTTTCCATTATTTTGAAAACATTTTTTATATTTTATATTCCATTCAAAGGCAAATAATATTATAAAAATATCAAAAGACCGCAATGTCCCGATATTTAAACAATGTTAATAACATAGCATGAAAAACATTGAAATGTTACAAAATATAAGTTATTATGTTAATTGCAGAATCAACACAAATATACATAAAAAATTTTTACATTTATGTTAACATTTGTACATTTTATTTAATATCAACACCACTAATTTCGAATTTAACTTTTTAGCAAATCTTTAAACCATTTTTTTGCGAATAAGGCATTTATTCTGAATTTGGTCCCATAACTATTTATATTTTTAGTAAAGTTCTTAACATGTTTAAGTGCTATAAAATGGGATTTCCTCAGCTATTCTGAATACTCTACACGCCAGCTGAATGCAAAATTACCTATAAAAATCCCTGCTTTATTTTGTACACCAACCAAAACACAAATAAATTCAAGGAAACTATTTGTAATATTTTCAATCGGTTAATTCCGAATTCATAGATTAATGGGACTTTCATATGTTCCTCATGAAAAACTGCAAGAACTTTATAAACTTCCACCACAGACAAATATTTGTTTGTGGTTAGGGTTATTCCTATTATCACAAAAAAAAAAAATAAAATAACTTAGTTTGAACAAAAACCTTTTTGATTCGTGTCTTTGGTGAAAATATGAGGCTTATTACTTCGAAATAACATGACGAAATTCTATGGTAAACAAATTCGATTTTGTGCACAAACCACGATTCGCCTAAATAGCGGGTCAAATGTAAATAAAATTAATACCTAATCGCATTTTCGATTGGTAAATCTTGATTCAATCTAGATTCTAGATCCAGCACTTGCGCTATAATAACTCAGTTTAAATTTTTTTCTAATTTATATTCTAAAGAATGTCATAATCTTGTGAGTTCTATCTCAGCACTTATTCTGCAATGCTTTCAATTGATCTACGCAGAGTATGCCCGATCCGACATCATTTATATCCACATTTTCTTTTTTGGAAACGATTGTTGATGGGTCAAAGTATATAGATTTACGTTATTACGAGAATTATCTGGTTTCGATTGCTAACGTTTATTGGAAAACCATTATTTTGTCTGAATCAAACGTTTCGAATTATTATATGAATATGTTAAATTTATTTTGAACGTCTGTTTTGATGAATGAAACTAAATTCTTAATAGAAACTATTATATTTAATATAGAGGTTTCGAATAATAGTGAATTGTAAGAACAAAATTTTTGTTTTTAATTAAATAAATTAATTAGCTGACCATACAACTTGGAATTATTTTTTATATTTAATTATTCTTAAATAATTTTTTCGAGACTGCAAGCATCAAGGGTGAAAGTAATACACTACCATAAACAAAAATTAATATGTTAAATAAAAAATAGAGCGAATTTTATAAATATTATTTAAAAGAATTATTTGATTGCTGCTTTTATTGGAACTGAAAATAATAACAAAAAAAATGAGACGGAACTAAATGAATAAAAGCCATTATGTATACAAGCGTCGATGATCTGAACTTACTTTTGGAGGATCCAATAACACGTTCTGTAGCTATACAACCCAAAAGGGAATATTTTGATTATACTGTGCGATACTTAATGCCCTTTTGGATGGATTGATAGGTTAGTTTAGGATTGCTGAAATTAAATCTGCAAAAGTTCTATATCGATGAGTTTTGTACGGAGCTACTCGAAAAACAGCAAAAAATAATAACATCCAATAGATATCCAAAAGATAATATATACTTTATATAATACATATACTTTATTAAAATTAATTTTTAATATAGAAAAATTTTGTACAAAATTGTATTAAAAACGAAGTGATAGCTTTTGTATCACCCAATATTATAAGAAGTGAAGACAGACAACCCAAAGTCACTGTTATATTTTACTCTATTAAATTAAAAGTAAAAATCGAACAAAGAAGAAAATATTATTATTTATTATATATTGTTTTCATACGGTTATTAATTTATAATATTTTAATTATAATATAATAATAAATAATTGATACAATTTAGTTATATGTTGGAGAATATCTATAAAATTTTATTTGTTTATTATTAAATCAGTCTCAAAACTATTTATATAAATATGCATATGAAAAGACTAAGTATCTAAAGTGCGTACAAATAAGTATTAATAATTAATATTATAATTAATATTAATATTAATAATAGGTATATTTTTTAATTTTTTCTAAATGCATTTTTCTGTGTCCGCTTCATCAGATGATTAAGCAAATTATACAGCTGTACCTTTGTGCTGTAATAAATCAAAAACAAAACACTTCAACTATTTGATTTAAATCTTAAACAATCTTAAATAAAATTAATAAAGTCCATTTTCAATCGAATTAATCCAATATTAAACTATTAGAACGTAAATCACTCACCGCATGCCGACTGCACTGTCTTCTGTCGCATGTTCTATACGCTGCCTTGCTTCCAAATCTTTCTTCGGTGCTGGAATCTCCACAACAAGAGTTGTTTCGGGCTTTGGCTCCACTTTTATTTTATCAAAACTATGTTCTTTTCCATCACTCAGTGAATTGAAAGGAGCAGCAGTGGGATTTCGACTCTTACTGGCGCCGCTCAACAACTCATCGCCTTAACAAAAATCGTTTATTTACATTATCTAGGAGCTTTAGGATTTTGCTTTATACTTACTCAATTGCGATATTAAATCTTCAGAATTCATCAAGAGTAAAGAGGAGTCTTGCTCGGGCAAGCCAATATAAAAACCGTCCAGCTTAACACGTACATTCTCGTTGCCCTTCTGACGTTGATCATAATGCAGGTCATAATCATAATCCGGTAGAAGAAAATCAAATAGTGACATGAGGCTATCGTCGCGGGATTGTTTGTAGGTATGTTTCTTAGTGGGTATTGTTGAACTGCATACTTCCGAACCCAACATCGCTAATACCACAAAGACGAAAAGACGATTTGTAAATTTACACATCTTTTTCTGATTCTTGAGTAAATTTCACCTTCGCTGAAATCTGCTGACTTACAGGCAAATGTGGCCGTTGAATTTTGTATGCATGCGCTTTAGTTTGATTTTGCAAAACCTCCTTTCTCCAGTTCGGCGTTTACTTGAATGATACTCAATGTGGCATCAAACTCACCAAGAAGCATTATTCCGCATTCTGTGCAGCAGCTGTGGGTTGTACCGACAAGACTAGTTTTGGATCTGATGTTACATTTTATGTGAGAATGTTTTATGCTTTTTCATTGCATAACATCTCTTCAGTACTAATGCACTAATGCATTAATGCACTGCTGCCATCTGCAGTTCTTGGTTATAATGATGTTAGAAGTGAAATGTGGCTTTGCGACTCCTTGTGCAGTTGCAAACATTTCAGCTCTTTAATCGAACCAGAGTTCGTGAAAGTCTTCCGCAATCAGAATTTTTATTGATTCTCAACGGCGTTCGTGAGATTGTCATGAAGAGAAGGTGAACAGTTCACTTCGTAGTAATTTTTTCTTAAAAATTTGCAAAAATAATAAAACTAAAGAAAAAATATTATGCTTCTATAAAAGTACATCTCGTAAAGGTGTGATAATGAGAATATTTAATTTTTTTTAAAAAGTTTTTATTTTATCGCTAATGTTTATTACATCCCATTCGAAGCAATTCTCTAAGACATAATACAACACTTATGTCATACTAATTTTCAGTGTGACAAGAATAACACTGTTATCACATTCTCTGTGACTAATCGGGTTTAACCTGTTCGAAGAGGAGATTACTAGATTACTTTACCAGCGTGTATATCCCCATCTGGTGTTAAAATGTCTTCAACAGCTAACATTTTGACGTCTCTTCAGTTAGGATCGGATAGCAATACAAAATATCAGTCATGCTTCACTCCGGAAGTCAGTACCCCATGTATATAGTGTATAACCATTGGAACCCTTCTTTAAAATGATTATCCTTTAAATGTTTATTTCTGTTTTGCAATATAAAATAAAATCACAAGATGATATAACCGAAGAAGAAGTTAATTGTTTAATTATACTGATGACATATTTCTCTACAAATTACTTGATAAACAAAGTGATATGCGTCAGTGCATTCTCAAACTTGTCTCCCCAAAGTTCGAATCGTTTTTTCGTATTACGTTGTGCAAAAAACATAAAGCTTGTGAGTTAATACAAATTCCTTATAGAATCTACAATAATTTTTAACAAACTATGCCACAAAAATCAAAAAAACAATTAAAAGGAGTCGATTTGATGATTTTTTCACATTCTTCGGGATATGATAACCTTGTTTCGATTTCATAACCACATACTACCATCACATCACCACTTACAATATATTTGAAAAGGTCTGAACCATTAACGATATAATTAAGCAATTTTTGTGGACCTGTTGGTATCTCACTGGGAATATAAGATGATTTCACTGCTTTTATGGATTAAACATATAGTTCGTTTCTTAGCGTGCATATTTCTGCATATCTTTTTACAGTTGTTGAGGTTAAACGACTCTATAGCTAGTTTAGTGTTAAATTAGAATAATGGTTGACTGTATTATGGAAGAGTCTTTAAGCTTTGTCTATTTTCTATTCTTTAACCATCACAACTTTCCGGTCTAAGTGAAAATTCATATTTCAAAATTCTTCAGCCATAGCTATAAGGTAGTGTTTTTGGTTTAAAATTAATAGTTTCGAAACAAATTTTCCTAGTATATACATCGTTTTTACAAACTGAGCCAAATGGGAAACTGCTTGTCCATCGAATGTTGCTGATACCTACTTTTATATATGCAGCCATTATTTTACAAGTACTTGGGTCGTTGCTATCGAAATACTTTTAAACAAATTTTAAAACTTTTAATTAAGTTCCAATAGTAAAGTCATAATAATTTCTCATATCTTGTATTTACAAGATTTAGTCGGTTGTGCAGCAATTTAGGCTTTCAGTTTACGGAGATTCTGGAATAATTTGACCTTATCATATTCTTGCAATGAAACTATCAATGTTGCTATCACTTTACCTTTCCCTGGTACTTCACCAAAGTCCTGCAATACTTTTTAACATATCTGTATTATAAAATAAATGTTTTTCAGTTTTCATATACTGAATCGTGGCCCCAATCTTTTTTATATAAGATTTCTATAAGAGTTTTAATATCCAGATAACACTATACGCGAATCAAGTTATATGTAACATAATAAACATTCATTATTTCTTTATGTTATTATAGGTATATATTCTTCATTAGTGCTAAAGGTTAGGTTATATTTTAAGCAGCCTGACATAATAAGCGTAGTTCAAAATCAGATCGCCACTAATTACCGACGGAATAATGAAAATGAAATATAAATGGCTTAATCGTATTCTTCGAAATTCTACAGCAGATATCACTGAAATAAGAATATAATCCCCAAAGCATCAAATGACTCGGAAAGAGATCAATTAAAGCAGTGTTGATATGGAAAGAGCTGCACTTTAGTAAATGAAAGAGTTCAATGGAAATAATTTTTTAACACCCTATCTTCCTTGTAAAAGACTTAGGTAAAAGATTAATTAATATATTAATTAATTATATTAATTAATATATAGGTAAATATTTCAAATCATAACTAAAGATAAGCCAAAGTATTTTTAAACTTAAATCAACTTCCTTTAGTAATATATCATATATTTGATTGTTTTCTTTTTTAGATGTAAAACTCATCCACTTTCATTCACCCAAACTTTTTAGTAAAGTTACAAATGAAGCAGCAGTCTTTAGGACCTACAATAAAGATATAATATATATAATAATAGTGAATGCTAAATATATAATATATAGAATAAAAGAAAATACCGATAAAAAAAGGCCTAAGTTAACTCTGAAGAAAAATGCGGATATAAGGCATGGCTTCTGTGCCCTCATTATAGTAAGCAACATAAGAGGTTTCATATCCACAGGCACCATGGTCCAATCTGGAGTATTGTATACCTCAATGGCCACGGATGTGCTCTTTAACAAAAAAAATTACAAATTATTATTGGGATATAAGAAATAATTTATTATTAAATATATTTATTGTTTATAAAATGATTTGCTAATATATGATAAAATCAATTTTTAATAAACTGATGCAATAACGGTTGAGTGCATGGTCATTCAGGAATTTAAAAGAAACTACTTAAAGGCACACCCATGAACTGTGGTAGTCCGAGACTTAAGTAGTAGTCGTAATGCCGAAACAACTTGCTTTTAACGAATCAATCATTGTATTTGAAAGTTTAATTAATGCAATTATTTGCAAGGAGATGTGTTTCGGAAAAAGCGATACATCGATGACACTTTATACAATGTTGAACAGACAAAATTTCATCTCTGGATTGTGTGTGAACTAATCGAAGCTAATAATTTGGTCAATTACTCTTTAAATATGAAAGGCTTTAGATTGACCTTTTAGAAATTAGTGCAAAACAATGAAACGGTAACTGTGAATCACGTATTAATAAGGGCGTCAACTTTCTTTATTTAGGTAAAGCCTGATCATAATAAACGCAGGTCATTAGAGAGTGAAAACATATTTAAGCAAAAATATACAAACATCATTTAAGATGTGAATGGAGTAATGTCTAAGTAATCCCGTACATCTTTCAAAAAAATGAATTACAATTAAGTTAGTTTAATTATACACTAAATGAATATATTATGAATATATTAAATATTATGAGTTTAAATTGTGTCATCATAAATTGTGCTGGATTTAAATAAAATATGGAAAGATCCGCCATTAACGAGCACTATGAGCGCAGTGCTTATACCTGCTCTGAAGAACTAGAACAAGAACTCTGAACTAGAAAGAAAACTTCGAACCAGCAAGATTGCACCTTTATGAGAGATTTCCATCTATGAGTATGCCCAGTTAACAGAGTTTTCACTCAAACCGCATAATATATTTCTATGTATATATAGGTATTGAAGAATCAATGTACGGAATGAATATTGTTAATTAAAATTCATACTGATGTTATTAGTGGTTAAACCAACATTCCTATCAATAATGCACTTCCCTTATTTAAAATGTTTTGAACTATTAGCTAAACCTACAACTAAATAGAAACATTTAAATATGTATGTGTGTGATCAAATAAATTTTTGTTATATTATAACTACTAAATACTAAACATTATAACTATAATAAAAATCTATTGACGTTTACAGGTAAATTCTTACAAATTTCAAAACGCACACCAAAATGATCGTGTTTAATTAACTGAATGCACTGCTGTTCATTGCCATTTCAGACTACGAATGGCCACCCCGCCTAATTTTCTAACTCAAGTAATGGTATAGGCAGATGTACCCACAAATAAACGCTCTCCAATCGATTTCATCAAGCCTGGTGTCAAAGTCAATGCGACTTATTATTGGGAAAATATTTTGGAAGAGCCGTGGACATGCACAATTTTGGTTATAGAACATAGACGTTCCAACAAGACTCGGCATCGTCTAATAGGGCTTACTGTTCCCAAAGATCCCGAACAGTTTGTGTGTTTTGCTAAATGAGTTTATTGTGAACCAAGAGTGGTTAAAAAATCATGTTCCACACTTCATTTGCTCCACAAATGAGCTACATCGAGCTAGAGAGAATGGAATTTTACAACTTGATTATTTCCACAATTTTTTGTAATTTAAATCAATAAAAAATAATTTCACACAAAAAAGATATTGTCGCTTGAATAGGTGTTACCTAATCCTGTATATATATACATTACAGATATATCATTTGAATTTTCTTAATAATAAGAATTTATTTACATTACCACATCTTGTATCTGTTGTCCTCCTGAGCAATATATTATCAATTGTATAGCCACTGCTGCTAAGAATATTACCAGAAATGGTATATTTGCCATTGAAACTCCTCGGCCCACTTGATAAGCCAAAAAGCATAATTGCACACAATTTATAACCAAAATAACAAATATTATGGGCTGATACAGTTGATTTAACTTTTTGACCATTTCGATAGTATCATTGTGATATTGTATACATTCTTTAATTGAAGATGTAAAAGTCGTTGATCGTGCAATGCCTAATTTAGATAGCTTTCTCTTCAGAATACAAAAGTGTGCTATTATATTGTGAGCCAGCCATGAGTAGAGACAATCAACTCCGATTGATATAAAGGCATTGAAACTTATTCCATATGCGCTCCACAAAACAAGAACCGCATAATTCATAAATTTTGTTATATCTATAGGATAACTGCAATTACAGATAAATTAGAATAAGAGAACGATACATTTTGTTGATAACATTGATATGTCAAAAAACTATATATTATAAAAAGAAAAGAATACTACTTCAAGTCTTAACGATAAATTGATCCAAACTTTCACTTATCATTTGTATTAACAATTAATTCAATATTTCAAGTTATTTATCTATATATGGAATAGTTCTATATCATTATCTTAAGGCTAGGCTTTGATATGCAGACAGCCGTAGTCACGTCTAATATGAAGTTGTTCTGTAACTTTTTATATTTGTTAAAACAGTATTTGTCACTAAATACATTCAAAATTAGCGTCTCATAGGAACAAACACAGTACATCACAGTGATTAAAAAGTAAGATGATATTGTTTATTCCTCATAAGTAGTCCCCACCCATACTATCAACTATACATTTAATTATTGTATCTTTTCTTACAATGAGACTAACATTAAGTTTAAATACATTATATTTATGGCAAGGTTTTTTTCAATCATGGAAAAACTAACTTAAAAGAAGTAGCAACATTTTTATCTAATAACGATAAAGTTACGACTAAATGCATCCAACTCTAGCATTTAGCACTTGTCATATTCAATAAATATATGTTTCAAATTGAAATATGTACCTATATGTTGGAAAATCACAGAGGGAGTTATGATACTCAAATCTAGAAAATCAACCAAGGACGTGTCGTCGTATAGGCTAACATTCCTGCTTTCCATTCTATAGTAGATATTGCTTTTTCGATAAGCTTTTTCGATATTAACAGCGGTTACGAGATATTAGTGACAATAAAAGCCTCATTCCAATGTGTATCTCGAAAACTATTAAACAAATTCACAGAGTTGTTAACACAATTGACTACACGTCCTACACATTTGTTCTTCTGCCTTTTTTTACATCTTTCGCAAGCCTTTGGAAAAGTGTGACACACATTTTCCCAACGGGTATTGAAATGGAACGTTAAAAATCAGCTACGAATCCTACACAAGCTAATAGAACTGGTAATACTATATCAGTTTTGGTTTTTAAATTACATAATAGTAGTCCTAGAAGTCCTATATTCACACATATGATATAGATCTCACTAGCAGAACAGAAGTAGCATTTGTCCGACTATAATCAAAAATAAAAATTTAAACATTCTGGTTTCCTAACAGATAAAAGATATTATTTTATATTTTAATAAATAATTTATATTAACATCAATAATAGAGTTTGCTTAATTTGACCAATAAGCTTGCAATAATATTATCGGTAATAAAAATAAACAATATATAAACATTTAAGGAGAAATTTTCTAGAATAACAAAAGGATCATATGGCAAAGTAATGCAACTGCATACCTAATTATTTCATATTATATTAACTTGATGTACAACTTTAGATGAAAGCACATTTCTAACTTATAAATATTTAAAAAACTAACAAAATGAGAATTATAAAAAATACAGTTTTAATTTATATATTGCTTAAATTTATATATTAATATATAGAAGATATATCAAAAGGTCCAATATATATGAAATTGGAAACACGGCACACATAATATCATAATATAAGTCCGTGTAGGATCCATATAGACGATATAACTTATCGATATAACACCAAAACATAGTAGGGTTAACAGTGCGAGTCCTGATTTATAAAAAAGAGTAATGTAAAGTACAAAACAGAAAAATAATTTGTTTTTTGCACAATAAAAAAAGCACTGAAAAAACTTTATAGATATTTTTTAAGAAACTATTAGCGGTTTTATAGCACAGTTTTAATATCACTTCAAAAAACTAAAGTTTTGAGTATGAGTATTGAGTTTATCAAAATTCAATGATTCTGTTAATCTTTGAAGTTCCTGAGTTAAGTTCCTGTTTTTAAAATACTACTTAATATAGATTTTTTGTTAACTTACTTGCCCTGAAAAGGTGTCTTAAATATTACAATTTCATGTTGAAAATACATTATGGCACCCATTAGTATCGGAGTTATAATAGCTAAACAAGATGTCAGTAGAACTCCAGTAGAATAGAAAGTACTTAATAACATGTCACTGTGATTCTGTCGCTTTATGATTACCAACTCATCGGAAGTAGCTATAAAATTAGAAGTATGAATATTAATTATATAAATATATAAAAATATAAACAAACAATATAGAATACTTAGACCTTTCGAACCCTTGCGATGTATAACTTTTATCAATAATACTATTTCACGACGATTATATACAAACAAAAATAATTTCCAAACGCTCAAAGTACTTTGCAATAAGGGTGACAATGCCTCCGCAACCATATCGACATCTGTTAGATGTTCCAATACAAATCTCCCCATACATGCTATAATTGTAAGGATGGCAAAACACGGCATCCAAGCCATCCATGGTCGTCGTAATGTATGTTCCACAGAATTCAAATCAAATCCAAGCCTTCTGAATGCATTCTGTTGTATGAAGAAGTATCTCTTTATGTTTGTGTCCTTCAATAACATTTTGTCTTCTGGCAAATATGTGCCGAAGTTTTTATTTATAGGAATCAAGATACATAAAACGGAATATAATTACTAGTGATGAAATACTCGTACACCAATTAACATTTGCAAATTTTTTATTTAATTGTATGTATGAGGACATTGTGCAATAAATATTTTCATATAACATCTAATTATTTTCTTATTATATATTATTTCACTCACTAAATGTCAGGGAATTTTAAATTATCTTACTTTTAGGACAGACAAGTGTGTAATGAATATACCTAAGTACGAATTTATATTCTACAATTTCTTTTCAATTTTCTTTCATCAAAATACAGGTTTGGTAAATATAAGTTCTATTAATACCTTAAGAGTTCAGAATAACATAAAAAGGATATATGAATCTGAGCGTTGAATACCAAAAGTTCATTTGAGAACTAATGCATATGCTCCAAATAAAATTACCTGATGTAACTAAACAGATTATTATAGATTTTAATTAATACAACTTTAGATATACTATATATCTTATAGTTTTCAATACTAGTATCTACATAAATTAAAATATATGTATATTTATATATGGGTAAAGGCAACTACGCTTTCTCCGTCCAAACAAAAACTTAAGAGACCTTGAACTTAGAAGTTCTTTGTTCTTTGTTCTTAGTAAACTTTAAAATTATTTTAATGTTAACTCACAAATAAATTAATAATAAATAAATAATAAAAATTCGAAAAACTAATGCAGCTTGTAAATGTTACGCTTCCTTAAACAATCTAATTTAATAAATATCTTCTTTGAGTTTCAACTAACAAGGATATCACAGGCAATTATATTGCAGATTAACTAGATAAAATAGTTTCAAGAGAAACACACTCGGAACATCTGAAAGATCTGAGCATAAAGCTACTTAAGTAATATATTTTAAAATATTCCATACTGATATCACTCTTATGGTTGATTTGCTATCAGGTCACTGACTGTAAGAAAAGATTATATCTTCCTTTCACGGTGGAGAGTAAGATGAAAGCACTTTTTATTAACTTTCATCGAATTTAGTCAACGCTTTAACCTCTTTTTCAATATCATTTTAAGTCTTATTAACGCTTCCAGGAAGTTTCATTCCTTTCGAGTTTCAAACAATAAAACAATGGTTTAAAAAGTCTAAATATTTGTTTTCCATCGACAAAACCCTTTAAAAGACTGCCTTTCTCATGATTTTTGTTTAATTCTAAAATGTGTCTGAAAATTATTGGCAATATTACAGGATATGCAATATTAGCAATTACAGAATATAAATTGTCAGCACTTAACACTGATAGGCTATATATACAACTGCCTGATCGATTTTGTAGTTTGATGTGAAGTTTTGAGAGTATTCTTACAAAATCAGTAACTATTGAGAGTATAATCCGACGCAGCTTCAATTAAATACCAAACCTTATTAAGATCTCTGTAAACAAATCCATCAATATAGTGTACTTAAGTTAAGCCCTTTTAGAGTTACGCTGCGAACCAATCTTCAAGAGCACGGGTACTAGCAACAAAAAATTAGCCTTAGCAGTTTCTACATACGCGGGAATACTGATATACTGATATTATATACGGTTTCGCACATGCTTGTCTTTTTGTTATTTTTTGCTTTGAAAAGTGAAAGACCATGCTAACGAATGTGTTAATTATCTGTTCCAAATTATGGATGCAAGCCGTTATTTAAAAAAAAAAGTAGTCAGCTCACATATCACGTAGCAAAACAACAGACATCCGATCAATAATGAAACAACATAATAAATAAATATAAGTTATCCATAGTATATGTAGTGCAGCGGTCAAAGAACGCCAGACCAGAGCGGTGTGACTTTAGAATGCTTCCTCTCAGCTTCAGCAATTATGCTGAAGAAGATTGCAGCTGCATTCAAGCATGTGCAAACCGTTTAAAATGCTTGCAAACAAATGACTACATAAACGCATACACCGCCCATTCCGTCCGTTCATTTTATCTATCAGTCAATTAATTCTGTACACCCAACATGCATGAATTGCATTCGAAAACATCGTTACTGTGTAATTATGTGATTATCACAATCGATCGATTTGATGATTATTGTGAACACTTTTATTTACTAATATCACGATACACATATGTGCATATATATGTGTATAAATGTGGTAAGTGCTACACGCTTCTCCTCTTAATCTTATCCACTTACCTCACCAATATTCAATGCGGTTAAGTCCAAATGCAATTTACAGTAAAGTTCATTGACACTTTTAAAGCCAATGCAAGAACAGGAATGTCTACGAATAGACAAAGTCATCGAAAATTTATTTTCTAGGGAGTCGGCCATACATTCTTTATTAGGAATTATATTATTTGTTAGTTTATCTTCGCTTTAATATAATTCTATACTGATGATAAAAACCTAAATCTCTTGATTTTCTATTCTATTATTCTATAGTATTATTCTACAGATTGGTTATTTGGGTCATTGATATAAGTGGTAAATCAATCTATGAGCCCAATTAGCACTTTTGTACCTTTTTGTTGTGACATTCTCGTCACCACCTGGTTATTTGGTTAGTTTTGTAGATATAATATTTAGATTGAGTCCATATGGTTTAAAAAACTCTGAACTCAAGATTATTGAAATGCTGTTCTTAACATCCAGAATCTAAGCATGTACAGACAAAATGCAATTTTTTTTTTCATTTTCTTCTATCTATTTTAACTTATGAGAATATCTATAGTAAGGAAATCTGATTTCAGCTACGTATTCGCGATCATTTAAAAGGAAGTAACTACTATCATCACACTAGAAAGATCATTTATATCTATATTTTTTTATCAGCGATAATTTTTACTTGAGTTATATACTTAAATATACTTAAATATTACAACACTCTTCCATTTCCAATATTAAAAACACATTTAACCATACTTAGTAGTGTGAACGTCAGTTCATCGGACTTTTTCGTTTCCCTCTTTATTCTAAAGTCCCGCAATCCAGATTCGACAGACATTATGTCATTCACTTAAGTTGGTTACGCTTATACTATATCTATATTTTATTTATCCAAAATAAATTTAAATCAGTCGCCAATTTTAAAATGTTTTCGGTTTTCATAAAGCAGTAATTAGAATTCTTTAACATAAAACTGACTCAAACTTGCATCGATTGATATATAGATGACAGATAATATAGATAATAAGGTAAATTTATAAAGCATAATGAAAATTTATATGACTTATGCTTATTAATACTTAAGAAATCAATTATATAAATGGAATATAGTTTGTCTCAAATTCAAGGTTTGAGTATTACATATTAAATTAATATATTTTCTACTAGATTTTAATTATGAAAATTCATTCAATTAGCAATAGTGCATATTCCTATTATTAAAGGAGTACTTCGTCTGACATTAAAACTCTGCGATTTACTCAATGAAGTACTGATAATGATTTCTAAACGATTACAGCTATTCCGCATTTCAATGCTTTATTCAGTAACTTATGTGGACTTAACCTCCAAAAAATTAAAGAAATTTGCTGACAACTTTACTTTCAAATGTCAAACTCCTAAGATATAACACACCCACACCAATACTCGTAAGCGCTTTAAAGTTTTCGAGCATTACTATGCCGTGGTAGCTCACCTACACTTGAATTCCAATATTTAGATGGAACGTCTTAAAACTATAGCTACTTAAAGATGTTCCAGTTACGTAGATTGCTCAACTGTTCTAGTTTATAATTAGTTTAAAGCTGCGAATAGAACTAATATCAATCCCTTAGTTAGACATAAATATCAGGGTTAAATAGTAGGTTTTGTTTTTTTTTATCAATATATATATTATATATAAACCAAGCACTATTAAAAAATAGTAATGATAATATATCGATTTTGTTGATTTTTTTATAATTTTTATAAATTTTATAATAATGAATGGAATAATATTAAATAAGTACTGTACTGTTTAATTTCTTTATGGTGCCAATATAACCTAAGTTCTTACTCTATTTTGTATTGTAAGATTTCCTATATCCCACTTGCTTGAATAATAATCCTGATGCTTTAATATTTTCCTTCTCGGATAAGATTAGATTGAGCTTTCATTCAACTTAATATATTGTTACTGATATTTTCAATATCAAATAGTTTAAATGTTTTATATTATTATTGAATTGTCAAAACTTTTCAATCATACGTAAGACATAGAGCTTTTCATTAGTTTTAGAAGCGTGATATTCTGAAAGGTGTCTAATTAATGATTCTAAAGACTTGAAAAACACTATGGCTTAGACGTACAATCTCTTTGTACGAGTATATATTCTCTTTCAGTTGGTATTCATAATTTTTAAGGAACCAATAATAATAATAAAAGATTTAATTACAAATTTTGTATATATATTTTTTTTCGGATTTCAATTATAGTTTTTAAATGATCAACAATAAACTTAAGGATTCCGTGGAGAGAAAAAATACACACATAATAGATCAGTTTAATCTATAACGTTGTAAGCAAGTAACAGTGATCCCATCTACATCAGCAATAAATTCATAACACAAGATCTATGTTAGAAGCTACTGTGATTGAATAAGAAATCATTCTATTCCACAAATCTTAGGATAATATCTCATGACTTACACCTCAAAAGAAGACTCATTTTTATTTTTATTTATTTCTTTATTCGTATTTTATATATATATATATATATATATATATACATATATATATATATCATTAATAATCTATTATTTGTTATTTATTTAAAATTTTTCCAGAATTCATTACAAAAGTTATTTACTTAGAAGGGTTCAAATAGAAATTAGAAGACAACAATAAAAATTTAATTAATTTATTGAAATTACTCATCAGCAGTGGTCTTAGGAAATATTCAAATTTCTTTTTAATTAGTTTATATACCATATATAATTTGTTTGGACTGCAATTGCCAGGCTTAGAACTCGTGCCTGTCAAATTAAAAGTGATGATTAATCATGTTTTTCCA